CCTCTGGTCTCCTGCTAAGCCTCTTGCTCAGCCTGTTCCCAGCACCTCCAGGTCACACACATCATGTCCCAGGACGCTTTAGTCTGTTCTCTGGACAGATAACCACCTCAGCTTCTTTGGTGACTGAACCCCTGCCAAGGCCTCCTCCGCCCAAGCCTGCTTCTGGGCCACTGTTCTGACTACCCCAGGAAGCACAGCAGCTTGACAGGCCAGGAGGACAGCAAGTGCAAGAAACGAACAGGCCCGTGACCCGACACAAGAGACAGACCGGGAAGTCTTTCTTGACTTGCAGGAACCTTCCATCTTCTTCAGGGACTCCAGACACCCAACCCCCACCTGGTGCCCCACAGCCAACCCAGTCACACACAGCCCCCAGCACAACAGTGTAGGGCCACCCACAAAAAGGATGGAGGAGGAAGTCAGACCAGACCCACCAATCTTCCAGGAACAGAAGGCAAAAGGACCTTGGCATAGCCACCGATGGAGGGCGTGTGAACAGTGATTTGTGGTGACAATTTTGGAATTTCAATATCTTTAGAAAACACAGCAGTATTATGAAAACATGTTTTCATTTAACCCCAGGTGTGGGGATGTGGGGCTGAGTCATAGCAGCTGACTATGATTTGCCTCGTGCTCTAGCAGAGGCATGGTTTTGGCAGCTACAGAAGTTTCTGCTATTATGTGACCTTTGCAATTCTGGGGGACTTTTCAAAAAATATATAAATGCTAGAGCCCTGATAGGTGGATTGTTGGTTGGTTGTTGGTCGCAGTTTGTTAAGAAGAGACAACAAGAAGAAATTAGATATCCTGATGGCCAAGGTCAAACTTGCCCCAAGGAGCTCAACACACCCCCTTTCCAACCCTTGACTTTATTCAGGGATCTCTGTCCTCTCTATCCTTTTTCTCTCATATCAAGTGTTAAGGAGTTGAAGGGTGAAAGAAGAAGAACCCACAAAGTAGCAAGCGCACATGCTGGCTACAGTGATGTGTCCCTAAAGCTTGCTGCTGTGACCTAATTTGTAGATGTGGCTAACACAGAAGCCCAAGATGGATGCTCTTATATCACCCGGTGGGGCCTGAACCTCATGACTAGTATCAGTGATCATTAAAAAGAGAAAGAAAAAACTAAACAAAACAATAAAACACTAGCAAAACAAGTGAAATTTATTCACAGGATCCAAGGAAAATTCAAAGTAGAAAACTGATTAGTTTGGTGCTGAAAAGATGGCTCAGTGGATGAGAGAAATTTCTGCTCTCCCAGAGGACCCAAGTTCGGTTCCCAGCACCCAAACTCACATCAGGTGGCTAGCAATGTCCTTTAACCACAGCGCCAGGGGATCTGATGCCATCTTCTGGCCTCCACAGGTACCTGCACTCATGTCCCCACACCCCCATGGGAATAAAAATAAAGAAAATTGGTCAGTGTATTAGGAGTTTTTTTTTTTTTTAATAAACAAACATGATCATCTTAATAGGTGCAAAACAACCCACTAAAAAAATTCATCATCTTCCATGCTAAAAACAGCCAACTATCTAGGCACAGAGAACTTACTAAGACCCCAGAGTGAAAAACCCACAGTGAACACACTTAACAACAACAACAAAAATAAAACAAAAATTAAGAAAACTCCACAAAACTGTGTACTTTTCCTCTAAGATCAGGGCAAAGACAGACTCGGGGTTCCCACATTGGAAAGGAATAGGAACCATTGCTGCTCTGCAGATGATAATGACCTTATATAAGTAAACTGCCACAAAACTTGTTAGAACTAAGAAGTTCAGTGAGTCACAAGCTGCGAGGTGAGCACACTAAAATCACTTGTCTTGGTACCTGCATGTGGTCTCAGTTTGCTTTCTGTTGCTTTGACAGACACTGTGACCAAAAAGCAACTTGGGAAAGAAAGGGTTTATTTCATCCCACAGGTCACAGCCTGTAAACTAGGGAAAGTGAGGCAAGAACCACAGAGGAATGCTACTTACTGGCTTGCTCTTGCTTTCCTCAGTCGGCTTCCTGACAGAATCTGGGCCCACCAGCCCAAGAATAGCACTGCCCACAGTGAGCTGCCCCCACCCCACCCCCTTCAATCACTAGTCAAGAAAAAGTTTCACAGGTTTGCCTCCAGGCCAATCTGATGGGTGCATGTTCTCAATTCCAGCTTGTGTGGAATTGACAGAAACTAACCAGACAAGCACCTTCACTCGCTAACCCGCTGTCAATCGTGACTTTCTAATCTGTACTACCACCTCACTCTGAATAAAGTTACCCTGCTACTTTGAAAAAAAACAAAACAAAACAAAAAAAACCATTATCTTTCTGTACAATGAACAGTCCTAAAAGTAAATGAAGAAAAGTTCCATTGTATTAGTATCAAAAGGACGTTCCAGTTATAACAGCATCAAAAGGAAGAGCTAAAAAGGTTTAAGGATTAAACAAGGAGGTGAGAGACTTATATGAAGATGATGCTCAGTGGATCAAGCATGCTGTAGAAGGCTCTGGGTTCAAGTCCCAGGACCCCAAAAAACAGCAACAACCCAAACCAACACTGCAAAACTGCAAACACTGCTAAAGGAAACTAAGAAACACATAAATAAGCGGAAACCTTCCAGTTTATGACCCAGGAGACTTAACATGGCTAAGATTAAGATGTTAGCTCAGGATGAGGGCGAGGCTCCGTGGCAGGGGAGAGCCTCCCATGGTGGCGCCAGAGCAGTGGAAACCCTGCTGCTATCTGCTTCCAAGCGGAATGTCAACCGAGCACTCCACAGTCTAAAGACTTAGGTTAGAATCTGGCTAATTCAGGGAGTTCCGGGGGCTGCGAGGTGCCGGCTGACATACCACAGGCCAGCTCACATGCCCTTGTTCCATGCCAACCAGGTCCTGCAAAGTTTTCAAAATGGTAGCCCCTCTGGCTCTGTGTGTACATCCAGCCATCTTACATTGTCCTAGTGAAGGACAGTCTCCCTTGTCACTGACATGCCACCAGGCTGACCGGCCTCCCATACCCTCAGCAAAACGATAGACACAGACATCCTTGCAGACAGCAGTCACAGTTTCCCTGGACAACCAGATGGCTTTCCTGTGTCCAAGGCAGGTACCTGGATCAAGTGGGAAGTGTTCACAGAATGCCATCGTGCAAAGCCTGGGAGACCATATCAGGGTCCTGTTGTCTCCCAGACCCCCGCCTTTCTATAACCTAGTGCACCAGCCAGCCTGGGCAGGGTGATCCATAAGCGAGATCCTGGCTTGCCAATCATCCATTGGTCATTGGTGGTACTCAATTCATGACCTTCAGATCTCAGCCCAAGTTCTACAGTTCTGACAAAAACTGTCTATGAAAGACGGAGCCACCCAGCAATCATGTGACCAGGCCAGCGCTTCTGAAGGCAACAATCTCTGCATGCCTCCAGGGCTCGATGGACGCACCTTGTCCTTCCTGACTTCTATCCTTCAACAGAGAAGCTCTTAGACTTCCAGGGACCTACTGTGGGGCAACAGCCCCTCCCTACAGCACCCACACACAAACAAGAAGCCAACAGGTCTGCAGCTCTGGGGCGGGGCTGAGACAGGGCACAGACACTATGGGCTACCTATTCTCTAGCCCTCTGATCACACATGACCACAATCTTGTCACCATAGCCAAACGGCATCCAGGTAGCAGACAGACACAACCCGAAACACACCCACTGAGACAGTCAGGACAACCTCACCTTTCCTCTTCAACAACTTTGCGCTTTTTCTCCTTTAATGTTAAAACTTTATTATTATTGTGTAAACATGTACATGTGTGTCTGATGTGTGGGAACAAAGGTACATGTGTGTTATAGTGTGTGTTTGGAGGTCAGAGGATAACTCTGGAGAGCTGGCTGTCTCCTGCTTTTACAGGGGTCCAGGGATTGAACTCAGGCCACCAGGTAAGAACTGCCAACCCCTGCCTTGTTTTATTGTTTTTCATACTCATAAAGACACACTGTCCAGATGCCTCCCCGGGACATGGAACCCTAACACCAGGTTCCATACCACCCAGTCTAAGGCCTCTTTACACAACACCCCATCCACGCACACACACCTTACATGGCCTTCCCAGCCTATGGCCCAGGGTTGGTTCCCTATCCCACTGGAGGCAAAATACATGGGCCAGCCCCTGCCTCCTCTAATGACACTGGGTCATGGTACTTCTTCAGTAACCAGGTGAGCCAAACCTTGTCACCCACCTGAGCCTTGCCATCCCTTAACACCTAAGCATGGCCTCCATGCACTCAGAGGCAAAGACCAAGCCCCCACTCCTGGACCTGTTTCCCTCATCTCCTACTGACAGACACTGCGGAAACACCAGACAGAGAGAGCAAGAAGGCCAGGCCTGGGCAGCCTGCACGGGGCAGACAGTGTACAGACGCAGAGGTGCAGCGCCCTGCTGTCCTGGCCTGGGCATGTTCCTCCTGGGACAAATTGGGGCACTTCGCTGACCCTCTACTCTGCCACCAAAGCAAGCCGACCACACCTCCCTCCTATACTCACCTCCCCTACAAAGCCTCAGCTGGCCAAATCATACCCATGGAAGTGATGGGGGAGCCATCCGAAGTGAAGGGAGCTCTTAGGTTACAGCACTGGGCATGGCAAGGTTGGGCTCCTCACCGCTAAGTGACTCTGGGTCCCAGGGCCCTGCTTCACGCAAGGCACCCACCCACCGCCCTGGCATGACGGACAGCAGTTCTACCTGTAGCGCATGGTGTGTGTTAAAAGGGAATTAAAAAATGGAGCACTCAGGCTGGAAGGATGGCTCAGTGGTTGAGAGCACTGGCTGTTCTTGTAGAAAACCTGGGTTCAATCCCTGGTACCCACACAGCAGCTGATAACTGTAATTCCAGTTTCAGAGGCTGTGATGCCCTCTTCTGGCCTCTGCAGACACCAGGCACTTATGTGGTATGCAGATGCACATACAGGCAAAACACCCATATACATAAAGTAAAATAAAATTAAAATTTTTAAATTGAACACTTACTGTCTTCTCCAGGACAAGGCATGCCTGGTTGTTCTGGGATGCTTGGGAAAACTGGATAGAAAGAAAGAAAATGATGAGGTAAGTGATCAGTGTGCAATGATAATGCTGTCTCAGGGAAAGTCCTGCCCTGAGTCATGGCAACTGGCTCCACAGTCCATACCCATTCTTTTTTTCCCCTTCAAGACAGGGTTTTTCTGTGTAACAACCTTGCTTTGTAGGCCTGGCTGTCCTCAAACTCAGAGATTCACCTGCCTCTGCCTCCAAAGTTTTGGGATGTTAAAATGTGTGCTACCACCACCCAGCTGAGGACCTGTTTTTAGAAGATATTCTTCAGCACAGACCAAAAAGCTCAAGCACGTCTCTGCGTCAAACCCAGTTTATAAGGTTCCAGGGGAAAGGCTTTTGAAAAGCGGAGCTATCAAAGGAAAACTAGCAGTTCTCATCAATAAGGTAATTCAGAAACAAGAAAGGACAGCAATCACCTTGAAAATCAAAATCTAAAAAGCAGCACCAAGACTTAAACCTGGGTCTTGCGAGTGCTCGGTCAGCTCTCTTCCACTGAGCTATAGGACCTATATCTTCTCCCCTTTTTACTTTTTATTTTGAAACAAGGTCTCATTAAGCTGTCCAGGCTGGCCTTCTCTAATTCCATAGCACAGTTTTTCTGGAACTTTCTAAATCTTCCTAACCCCATTTCTCAAGAACAAGATTACAAGCCTATGCCATGAGGCTCAGCAAAACTTAAGTTTTTGTGCCAGTGTGATGGCTCCTACCATCGAGCCTGATCACCCGAGTTTGACCCCTGAGACCCACACAGTAAAGAGAAGGACCAACTCACATAAGTTTTCCTCTGATCCCCACACATGGACCCCAGCACACACACAGTAAATAAATAATATAACAATACATTTCTAATTAAGCACATCACTCCTAACAATTTATCTTTACGTGTGCGTGTGTGTGCGTGTGTGTGTGTGTGTGTGTGTGTGTGTGTGTGTGTGTGTGTGTCTGACTCAGAGTCTGTGCACCACATGCATGCAGGAGCCTGCAGAGGCCAGAAAAGGCACTGGACTCCTCCAAGAACCCATTACAGATGGCTGCTAGCCAACCTGTGGGTGCTCAGAACAGAACCCTGGTCCTCTGCAAGAACAACAAGTATTCCTAACCACTGAGCCATCTCTCCCATCCAATAAACTTACTTTAAAGTACATACAAGCATTACAAGATTTTAGACTGCCAGGCTCTGTCTTCAGGCTGTCAGACAAAGATTCTCCAGCTGAGGAGAGGCCCCTAGGCTATGGTCTCCTCAGTTTTACACTTGACAGAAGCCAGGGTTATTAAGAAAGGGGACTTCAATTGAGGAAATGCCTCCGTCCTTTTGCAAGTGTATGGGACATTTTCTTGATTAATGGGTGATGTGGGAGGGCTGGGTCCACTGTGGGTGTCCACCCCGGGCATGTCTCTGTTTTAGCTCCTGGCTCCAGGTTCCTAGCCCCGCTTGGCTTCCCTCAATGACGGACTGTGATCAGCATGAACCAAGAGAGACAGGGCATCTATCTTCACAGACCAAGCGAGTAGATGAGAGCCGAGCCCAGATTTGTCACCTACCATGGATGATGAGCACTTCATCCCTGCCCTGACAGGCCAGGCGGAAGGCCTCCTCCAGCTCCATCTGTGAGGACACAGTACAAGGGTCACCTATGGGTGGAGGCAAGAGGCACCAATGAGGCCGTGACAGCAGAGAGGGCCGAGCTGCTCAGCACTGGCGCTCACTCAGCAGCTCAGACGGAAGGAGGGTGGCAAAGTCTGATCTGTAGAGCAGGGATGGGAGAGCCCATAGCAGCCAGCCAAACCAACCAGCTAATTTCCCCTCACAAGATCTGAGGGTCCCAAGTAAGAACCTATCAACCCCAGAAGGAAACCTTGTTCACTCACAGCCTCGGGAGCTCTAAGAGCTTGCGGGCCAGCAAATAAGACCTAGCACCTTCTCCTAGGTGGCCTAGGTAAAGAAGGAGGGTCCTGCCCTCTGGGCTTGCTGGATGTGGAGATGCATAAAACCAGCCCCAGTTCCAATCGTCCTGAGGAAATGGGAGAGGCTGTGTGCTCTACCTACTCCACAGCGTCTCTGACTGACAGCAGCAGTCGGACATGGGAAAGGGCACTCTCCTGACTATCTCCACCTCATCCCAGTTTTCTCTGGGTCTGAATGTGGGAAAGAAAGAGGCAGAAGGAGGAGACAGAGACATAGAAATGCAGAGAGAGCAAGAAAGATGGGGGCATGAAAAGGGGAGAAAATAGAGAAGTAGAAAGGTGGGAGAAAGGGAAGAAAAGGACAGGAAAGAGAAGAACAGAGAAAAGGAAGTAAGAGAGATGAGAAAGGAGCAGAGGAGAGGGAGAAATCAAAAGGGGGGCATGGAGGCCTCAGGCTAGCCTCAGCTTCCCGGCTCTGCTAGGAAAAGGAGGAGCTAGTCCTTCCTAAATCAGCAGCTGGAAAACCCCAGCACACAAGATCATCAGGTAAGGGGTAAGGGCCTGTGCTAGGTGGGAGCCAGCTGAGACCAGAGCCCCCCCATGCAGCAGGAGCACCCCGCTTTGTCTGGCTTCCTGCGCTGCCCGGTCTGTCCTGGTCCTATTTGCCCATCTGCAGCTATTCCTGCTGAGGAACTGTTGGCTCCAACAAGTTCAGCTGCGCAGCCTGTGGGGGAGGCTGACGAAGCCCAGGGGAGCTCAGTCTGGCCATCCCAAGGCTGAGGCTACCTTCACTGTCCACCCACTTGAGGGTGAGCGGGTGCTGCTGGTGCAGGCCACACATGTCTCTCACTTCCTCACAGAGGTCCTTGAATGTTGTCATGGCGTCCACGCTGGTAATCAGGATGTCCCTGGGACAAAAAGGACAGGGATATCTGTCACTAAGATCACACCCGAACCTGACTAAACACTGCTCAGTTAGCCAAGTTACTGATTAGATAAATGAAGTTAAAATCTCCCCCAACACGAAATGGCACCACTGACCAGTTTTTAAAACAACCTCCATGGCTCCACAGAGAAGCAAGCTGAAGTGACAGAGGCCTCCATAGTGGAAGGCAAGCACCCAAGCCTGCTGAGCAACAGTGTATACAGGATGCAGACACAAGCCCATCTGCTTCACTCAGGTCAAGCCTTTCCCCAAAGCCTTGAGGGTGAAAACCAGGCGCACTACCCAGAGAAGCGAACAGTTAGCTAGTCAGAGCTGTCCTTGAACGGCTTGGCAGGACCTGAGCCACCTCTACCCCAGCGTCGCAGCAACAATTCTGAAAGGCATACTTCTTGGAAAAGCAAATCTCAGAATGCCATTGCCTTTTATCTTTTCATTCCCAGATGGGACTTAACCCTCTGTCGTAGGAGATGGCTTAGAGACATGACCTGGAGGAGGAAAATGAGAAGTGGGAGTGTTGCTCCCCTATTTTCCTTATAAGGAAGGGCAGCGGCAACAAGTTTCCATGGAAACTAAGCAGGACCACACCCTCACAGAAGCGGCAGTGAAAATCGACTTGTGTCTGACATCCATGGGAAAAAAAAAAAGGCTTGGGAAAGGAAACCTGAAAAGCTCTGAGATGGGAACATTGGCCAGGGTTGCTGTGTCCCCTGGTCTCCCCACTGGGCTGTCAAAATTGGGTCACACAACTGTCTATGAACAAAGACGAGATTCAGAGCGACGAGCATCCAGCACCTACCCGGCGCCCTGCACACCAGCCAGGCCTCCGGGGACCTGCCGGTCTGTGGGTCTCACCCACTGTGCAGGGCCAGGGATAGGTGTCCCCAGCTGCCCCTGGTTTCTACAAGACCAGCCAGCCAGCTTCTGCCTAGCCCCCGCCTGTCTCGGGAATTGATCCTGTCCTAGGCCACACAGCCTGTAGAACCACGGCAGATGACAAAACTGATGTGGGGCCTCCAAAGCTCAGCCTCAGGCACCTGTCACCTGGCATCTCCCTCACATGGTGCCCACACTGCCCAGCACTGGCCAACCGGAATGCTGGAAATCAGGTCTGACATCCCTTTCTCGGACCTCTTTCTGAACCCTTGGAAGCCATCCTCCACCAGCACCCCTCAGTGCCCAGGGCACAGGTGACACATTAGGAGGTGCCCCACGGAGCTGAGCTACCTGCTCACAAGTGGGCTTTGGTGAGCCCTCCTCCTGACACACTGCTAAGCAAGGGCGTCTCAGAAGTTGGGAGCAGCCTGGACAGATCACCCGACCGCAGGTCCTCCAATATGAAAGTCTGTAACAAGAGCCACAGCAGGACGGAATACCCACCCCCAAGTGATAACTGAAGTATCAGAAAGCAGGCACCTTGGTTTTGCCTGTCTGGCTCACAGGCAACTCCCTGAGAACAGTGTTGCCTGACACTCCTCAAATACAGGTGGCCACTGGTGGCAGCACTCTGCTCTCAAGCCTCAAAGGGACTGCGGGACAACAGGAAGGCAAATGGCTGACATATTACACACTGACTGTTCTAAGGACAGGGCTGCATCCTTGACTCTAAGCTGTAGCTCTGTCACCTCCCTCAGAGCAGTGTCTTGTGCCATGGCCCCAAGACGGCACCTTCCTAGACAGCACATTCCCCCAAGCCCCAACTTTAACAGCCAAGAGGGTAGCTCTGCCTCCTCAAGCGAGCCTCGGGACTCAAGCTCCAAAGGCACCCAGTGGGCGGATTTTAGAGAGCCAGGAAGAAGCCTCCTCCAGAGGCAGAGGAAGGCAGAGGGGTACAGAGGGAGTAGGAGTGGAGAAGTAGAGAGAGAGGAGGGTAGGAAGGGGTGGAGAAAGGGAAAGAGGGGAGGGAGAGAGAGGAAGAGGAAGGGGGGCTCCACTTTTGTCAGCTGAGGAAACTGGAGTCAACAGGTTGAATTACACTGCCAGTAACCAAAGTGCTCCCCAGGGGCAAAGGCGGGAGGAGGGGCAAGACCGACAAGTCCAGGACCGGGGAACTGTCCAAGGTGAGCCATGACCCCCAAAGGGTTGGCTCAACCTACCCTAAGGGAAGGGTGGGAAGGGTGGGTCCCACCCCTGGGGCCCTCAGCTTCAGTGAGGACCAACTGCTGAGCTTGGGGGTCCAGGCAGAGGAAGTCGGCTTTAACAGGCTCACTCCAGAATCCAGAAGCCTGAGGACACAGCTAAGTCTTCGCTTTTAGCAGGGGCACTCCAGGCCAGAGGCAGGGCTTTGGACCTGACATCTTTGGGTGGGCCTGTCAGACCCCCAGAAATCCTTTCTCTGGCTCTATCAGAAACCCTGCTTCAAGTCCAGGATCACCAGAGGTTGGTCATAGTGAGAGGGAACTGGCAGGAACTTCCTTAACAAACCGTGGAGCTAGGCAGCCCGAGGCTGGAAACAAACCCTCCACCCAGGCAAGGACGACGACAGCCACTTGTCTCTGTAAAACTCCCAGGAATGCGGAGAGCCCAGTCCAGCCACTGGGCCAGCATTCCACTCCACTCCTTCCTCCTGCCCAAGAGCAGTGACCCTTGACCCTTGACCTGGGAGTACCCAGGTCGGCTCCAGGAGAAGCAGCCAAAGCATTAGGCATCCACCGCCTTCTGTCTACACAATCAGAGGAGCAAAATACCCCAGCTGAGCGGAGGCGGGCCAGCCACCAGACACCACCACTCCGCACCCATCAACCGCTCCGCACCCATCACTCCAGGCTCCGAGGCAACACCACCGTCAGTATTTCCCAATTTCCCCAGGAAAGGAAAGTGGAATCCAGGGCTGGGGGCCAAAGCCAGGCCCCCAAACCACCTGTAAGTGACGGAAGCGTCACCAATCCCGTCCTTAAAGAAAGGCAGGACCGTATTCTTTCTGGAGATCTCCAAAAAGTTCTCTTCCCCAAACAAAAGCCGCGGAATGTGCGCTTAAATTCCCACTCTTGCGCATGCCTTTACCTGGCTCAAAGCTTTCCCTACATTTACACCGAAGCCAACTTAAGTAACCTTGGTTGGTGGTGCCGTTTTTTTAACGCACCAGAAGTGTTCACAATCTGACAAAAACTTTCAGACCGTAGGAGCTCGTCCTTGATGTCCCCGCCTAAGTGAGACCTGGCTTGGAGCGCCAACGCCGGCCTGCTGCGCGCGCCCGGAGGAGCCAGCGACGCGGAGCGTGCCCCGCCCTCGAGCTTTCCCTCGGGCCACGGTCAAGGGCGCCGCGGCAGCTCCGGGCGCCTCGCCGGCGCCTCCCGCCTCCCTCGCGCGCAGGCCGCCCGGACCGTCCCGGAGCCCCGCGGCCGCGCACCCCGCCTTGCTCGCTCACCCCCCGTAGTGCGCCTTCAGACGGACGCGCCCGCCGCCGCTCCCATCCATCTTGGGGTCCGTCCTGCTGGGCATGGCGCACTCCGCCAGCCGCCGTCAGCGCCGCGCCCGGGGCGCTCCGGCCATGGCTAGCGGCCCCCCGCGCAGGGCCGGGTTGCCAGGCGGGGCGGACGGCGGAACGCGGAAGGGAGCGCGCAGCGGGGGGACCGACGGCGCCGGCCGCGCCAACTCCACGGAACTTGGGCGGTGCGCGGGGCGGGGGGCGGGTGTGGGCGCGGGGCGGGGGCGGAACCCGGCCGTCCGGGCGGCCAATCCACGGGCCAGGTGGCACCTGCGGCCAATGAGGGCTCCCCGGGGCCGCCACCTGGGCCAATCCTCAGGGGCCCGCGCGGCCGCGGCCCAATAACGAGGGCACAGAGCGCAGTACCTGTCGGCGGGGCGCGGCCGCCTGCGACCAATGGGAGCGCGCGCGGTGTGGCTCTGCCCGGCAACCGGCGGCGACCGGGAGAGCCCGGGGTCCGCGCGGCCCTGCGGCTGTCGTGCCGAAGAGACGGGCGGAGTTGTTGGAGGTGCGGCTGGCCGGCGCTGCCCGACCCTGGACGTCCGAACTCCGGCTGTCCGCGCGCTCCCGAGGCTGCGCGGAGCTGAGCACTCGGTCGGCGTGCGAGCTGGGCCGGCCCTCGGATCCCCGCGGATCCCCGCAGCTCGGCAGGGGAAGCCGACGCTGGCTGCCTCTGCCGCAGTTCACGGCCGGACCAAGCTGGAGGATCGGAAGGCCTTCTTCGCCCTACGTTCCTCACACCTGCCTGGCTCTTGGTGCCAGGCACTGAGGTGACCCTGGAGGGCTTGGATCCCGTGTTCTCCCTAGAAGGCACTTATGGGCAACCTGTTTCAAAAGCGCTTTTGTTTGGTTGGTTTGGATGGTTGGTTGGTTGGTTTGCTTTGGTTTTCGAGACAGTTTCTCTGTGTAGCTCTGACTGTCCTGTACCTCACTCTGTAAACCAGGCTGGCCATGAACTCATAGATAACACCTGCCTCTCGAGTGAGCCATCGCTGCCGCTACTGCCTTCCAGTGCTTTTTAAACGCTTCCATCTCAAAACTAATTTTTTTTAAAAATGTTGACACACCCGTAATCCCAACATTAGAGAAGCCGAGGCAGGAGGACCTGGAGGCACGGGGCCAGCCTGGGCTAGATCCCCAGGTATGTCTCAGATAATATTTCTAACCCTGCTAGCTTCCTGCACTCTGTCACCTCTGTTCAGGCCCCTGCCGCAGCTGAGACAGGTTTTCACTACGCAGCCTGCAGCCTATGCTCACGGTTGAGATTACAGATGCACGTGACCACGCTGGGTTCTCGGGCGTGTTTTGTTGAACGTACACATGCTAGGCAAGCACCCTGCCACCAGCTACATGCCTTGATTGTTTTCGCCTTTTTATTTCTGTTATTTTTTTTAAGAATTTTTTTTTTAAGCTTGACAGTGGTGGGGCACACCTTTATTCCTAGCACACGGAAGGCAGAAGCAGGTATGGATCTCTGTGGGTCTGAGTCCAGCCTGGTTTACAGAACAGCCTGAGCTACACAGAGAAACTCTGCTTCAAAAAGCCAAAAAAAAAAAAAAAGGAAAACTTTTTATTTTATGTATATGAGTGTTGTTCTGCGCATGTGTGTTCCTGTGCGTTTGCACATCTCATATGTGCAGCGCCCTGAAGAGGCCAGAGAGCGTCGGGCCCACCCTGGAACTGGCGTTGTAGCCAATTGTGAGGGCCATGGCAGGCCCTCTGCAAGGGCAGCCCGTGCTCTGAGCCACTGAGCCCCTCTCCAGCCCCCTCAACGTTTGAGACATTGCCTGGCTGAATTTCCCGGTCCGGCCTTGGCTCCTCAGTCCTCCTGCCTCAGTCTCCCTAACAGTTAAGATGACAGGCCTGAGTTAGCTGCTGCTTGCACTTCTTACTTTTCAGTTTGTTTGTGTTTTGAGGTGGGTTTTGCTGTGTAGCCATGTAGCCCATGCTGTCCTGGAACTCAAGCTAGCCTCAAACTCAAACTGCTTGTCCTTTCTTCCCAAGTCCTGGGATTAAAAGCATGCCCTTAATGCCCAGCTTACCTTTGACAGCAAGAGGCTCATCCAGGGTGCTGTTGTCCAAAGCTCCGCTCACTTTCTTCGGTCACACAGCTTTTTTATCTGTTTGTTTGTTTTAAGACAAGGGCTCCAGATGTGGCCCCAGCTGGTATAGAATTTGTGACTCTCCTGACTGCTCAAACATTGCTATGCCGGAATCACATGGCCTATCAATCTGGCCCTCGGACATTGGTGGCTTCTCAGGCAGATGCTCTCCAAGCCATGACCAAGCCTCATGCTCCCCCGACATCTTCCCAGCCCTTCCACCTGCATGTTCCTGGAAGTTCCCAGGGTGACCACTGCTGTCCATGTGCTCTGAAGACACTAGAGCAAAGCTTCTGATCACCATTGAGTCAGGCTACCGAGAAAAAAAACCACAAGATGTGCTAATTGCTCCCCCTCCTCAGGACATTCCAGGTGTTGCTCATGATCAAATATCCTCCAGATGACCTGGCCAGGACCGACTGGTCTTGGCACCTAAAATAGACCAATCATTTTAAATGTCAACTTCTCTATATACCCTTTTACCCAATCCGGTAATGCCAAGACATGTAACTCCCTGCCTGCCCACGCTTTCTCCTTTAAAAACCCAAAGCTTTTGTTCCGTGGGGCCGTCTCCTGCTTGGATGCAGGGCAGCCCCGATGCCCGTTGGCTGAACAAATCTCTTGTGGTTTGCATGGATTCGACCTCCGAGTCTTGTGCACCTCTCCGGTAGTTGGGTCCTGAACTGGGTCCAACAAGCTCCCCTCCCCCCAAGACCTCACACCTCCCTGCTAATTTTCACAGTTTTATCTTCCAGTGTGTTCTCACAAGCTAACCCTAGACCTCCCTTGATGTTCACTATGACCCCTTGGCCAAGCCCTCCTCTCTGAGCTGGGATCATTGCTCAGTGTCCAGGTTCATTTAAAAAAAAGTCAGATCTTGGTGGGGTTGCAGTCCAGTGTTTAGACGCCTTTGGCAGCAGCTGGAAAGATGACTCAACGGTAAAGAGCACTGGTTACCCTTCCAGAAGGGCCCAATTCCTAGCACCCACATCCATCTAAAATTCCAGTTCCAGGGGATCCAGGGCCCTCCTCTGGTATCTGACCACCAACACACTTGGTTCACATACATTCATGCAGGCAACACACACATATAAATTTAGAAAAATCTTAAAAGCCTTCAGTTGTCCCCCTTGCTCTTGGATGAAAGCCAGTGTTCCGCCACGGCAGATGAGCTCACAGGACCTGGGACCACATTCTTTCCTGCCGGTGGCCTCCCCCATGTTCTTCTGAACTCACCCGCCCCAGGCTGACTTTCCCTGGCCCTGGGGCCTCTGCCTGTGCTCCAAGGAGCACCTCTCATGCCTGCCCTGCTCTGAGAGAGGTGCCACACCGCTCTGAGTCTCCACAACGCACTGATGTCTGCGTGAACTGTTTCCGCCCCTTCACTGAAGGGACCTGGGTAGAAGGTGGCATGGGCTGAGCCAGGTACATGATGAGCAGCAAGCCTTTTCCAGCCTGGGTGGCCCTGGCTAGGGAAGGCCCTCTGGAAGCCTCAGTTCTGGGAGAGGATCTGGGGTCCTCTAGTCTTGGCAAGGCAAAGCTTGGCTTGTTGGCTTTGGAAGAGCTCTATTTTCCATGAGGGTGGGGAAGGACAGCAAATTCAGTCCCAGTCTTGGACCGTATACAGCCAGGGGTGTGCTGGGAAAGGTATCAGTGTACCAAAGGCAGAACAGAAGGCTGAGAGTGTCCTAAAAGCCTACCCTGCCCTCCTGCCTTCGTCTCCTGAGGCTGCCATTTATAAAGCCCTACCACCACCAAGGCCTAGGGGGCAGATCACAGCACCAACTCCACAGGCAAAACCCCAACCTGAGAGGCTCCGAGCTGAAGGGCCTGCAAGCTTCCTCTGTGAATGGAGTTGGGGTGTTGCCTGGCAGTAGACAACAGGATTTGTTTCTAGTTTCACCAGTGAGGCCCCTCCCTGGCTGGTGTCCCTGTGGTCTCTCCAGGCACCTGTGTAATGAATGCGATTTCTGGGCCACGTGGACTGCAGGGCCTCAGGCTTTGTCCACCAAGAGGAGGGCAGGGTCACCACCAGCTTTCCTGGACGCCAGACCACACCAGTCACAGCCTAGTGGAATGGCTGCCTTCAAGAACTTCCTCCACAGCTGGGCTCAGTGGGGGTGGAACACCCTAAAATCCCAGCACTCAGGGAGGCAGAGGCAGATGGATCTCTGTGAGTTTGAGGCCAGCCTGATCTACAAAGCAAGTCTAGGACAGCCAGGGCTACACAGAGAAAGCTTGTCCTCAAAACAAAACAAAACAAAAGAAAGTCCTCCAGGGTGGGAAGGGTGTGGAGGTGACCTTGGAGTCAGTAGGGTGAATCCTTTCGGCCTTCTGGACCCTGAACACTGGCATAGTCACAAACACAGACTTGTTTTCTAGATGAGGAGTGTTAGCTGTTTGTAAAAATGTTAATGGATTTATATAGACTCAGTTTCTGAGAGGGTGAGTTGGCCAGCGAAGCCCCTTCCCCAAAGCCCAGCTTCGAATCAGGGAGGCCCACGTGCCTGTCCTTCACTTGTGAACCAGCTCAGGGAGGGTGTCTCGCTTTGGTTTCCATTGCTGCAATAAAACACCGTGACCAAAGCAACCTGTAAGTTGCTTCCATATAACAGTTAATCACTGAAAGCTGTCAGGGCAGGGCCTCAGACAAGGAGCAGCCGGGCGGCAGGAGCTGAGAGTGGAGCAGAGCTGCTTACTGGCTAGCTCAAAGTACTCATGGTTCCCAGAACCACCAGTCCAGGAGTGGCACCACCCACAAAGGGCTGGGCCCTGCCACATCGCTTGTTAAGAAAATGTCCTTCTGCCTCCAGCCCAGTCTTCTGGAGGCAATTTCTCAAATGAGGTACCCTCACCTTAGACGGCTGCAGCTGTGCGTGCTGACATACATCTACCGGCACAGGAGGACAGCATAGACACCTCCGGGTGTGGGGAAGGGCGAGGAGTGTGCAGGGGGACGGTGGTGACACTTCCAGGGGCAGGGAAGGTTGGCGAGTGCTGGGCTTACAGAGGGTTAAGTGAGCACTCCTCCCACCTTCCCCGGAGGCTTGGCTCTGCAGGTCCAGGATGTGAGGCTGACCC